AAAATCATATATCAATTACTACAACAACATAATAATATCAACAAATATACGTAGACGACATGTTAGTAAAGAGCGTTGCCATAGCAAATCATGTGACCCACTTCCAGGAGACCTTTGACATCCTAAGGTCTTACCGCACAAAATTGAATCCTAAGAAATGCACCTTTGGCATAGGATCAAGAAAATTCTTGGCCTTCATGGTCAACAAGAAGGGAATTGAAACGAATCTGGACAAAATCAACGCCATTTTGGGTATGAGGTTCCCCGCCACTTTAAACGAGGTCCAGCACCTTAGCGGAAGTGTTGCAGCTCACAAAGGATTCATCTCGAAATCTGCTAATAAGTGTCTACCTCTCTTCAGAGTCCTCCAGAAGGCTTTTTAGTGACGACCAGACACGGAAGAAGCTTTCCAGAAAGTGAAAGCCTATCTTGCCGCACCCCTTTGCTCTCTCACTCCAAACCTGAAGAGACCTTGTACCTATACCTAACTGTCTCTCTATATGCTATAAGCTTCATCCTTATTAGGGAGAATGAAGGAGTGCAAAGGCCCGTCTACTATGTGAGTAGGGCTTATCGAGGAGTAGAGATAAGAACTCAAAGTTGGAGAAACTAGCTCTCACCCTAGTCACGACAGTGAGGCACCTTCGATACTACTTGTAGAGCCACACCATCATAGTCGTCACGGATCAACCACTAAAAAGAATAGTGGGAAAGATAGATGTGTCCCAAAGGCTCCTCAAATGGGTCGTTGAATTGGACGAGTTTGATGTGCAGTACCGACCAAGAGCAGCCATCAAAGTACATGCATTAGTATATTTTGTGGCTGAGCTCACACCGCCTGAGGAGAAAGGCAGCAGAGAAGAACCAGCACCCATGGCCACCGCCCCAGTGCTCGTGAGCCTCTCGGCTAGCATACCAGGGACGTTGCCCAACTCCCTAGGCACCTTGCTCCCAAGGTGCCCTAGCCTTGGCGTCTTACTCCCCAGGCACCTTGACCTTAACACCTTACTCCTCAGGCACCTCCACCTTGGTGCCTTGCTCCTTAGGCACCTCAGCACTCTCCTCATCCACGCCTTAGCATGGTGCCCTACTACCTGCCATGTGGGGCCCCCAACTACCAGTGCCTCCATATGCCTTCATGCTGTGACTACATCCATGCCTTGTTAGAGACTTTACATAGATGGGTCCTCAACCAATGAGAAAAGTGGAGCACGCCTAGTACTCATCAAACCCAATGGCAAGCCCCTCAAATACGCCATATCAATTCATTTTGCAACCTCCAACAATGAGGTAGAATATGAGGCACTCATCTCAGGCCTAAGGCTAAAAATTCAAATAGAGGCTAATCACCTCACCGTCTAAAGTGACTCTCAACTGATAGTCAACCAAGTAAAAGGAGATTTCAAACTGAGAGAAGAGGATGTAGGAGTACCTAACAATGGTGCAAAATTTACTAAAAAAGTTCCACCATTTCTAGATCTAACATGTACCAAGGGAGGATAATGTCATAGCAGATGAAGTCACCAAGTTTGCATCATCCTTAGATATCACACCAGGTCTGACATTTATGGGTCACCAATTTGAGCCAAGCAAGCTCAGAATAGATATAGGATGTGTTAACTGTGCATCCACCAATGATGACTAGACGACACCCATCTGGGCATATCCAGAAGAGGGCACACTTCCAAACAACCCAGTGAAAGCCAAGAAGCTAAGGCTAAGAGCATCAAGATATGTCATCCTACAGGACATTCTCTACAAGAGGAGTTTCTCACTTCCATTACTCTATTGCATATGAGTTGTGGCCAGTGCAAGTTTGTGGTGGTAGCCATTGACTACTTCACAAAGTGGGCGAAAGCTAAGCCCATAACAAAAATAACAAATAAGAAGCTGAAGGACTTTATCTAGAGAACCATGGTGTGCCACTTTGGAATAACCCATTCCATAGTGAGCGACAATGGCAAGCAGTTCAACAACAAGCTCCTCAATGGTTTTTTTAGCCGACCTCCAAATCAAGCAGCCCCACTCTAGTCCAGCCCACTCCCAGGCAAATAGACAAGCCAAAGTCACTGCAAGGACCATTATATGCAATNGCTGAAGGACTTTATCTAGAGAACCATGGTGTGCCACTTTGGAATAACCCATTCCATAGTGAGCGACAATGGCAAGCGGTTCAACAACAAGCTCCTCAATGGTTTTTTGAGCCGACCTCCAAATCAAGCAGCCCCACTCTAGTCCAACCCACTCCCAGGCAAATAGACAAGCCAAAGTCACTGCAAGGACCATTATATGCAATCTGAAAGCTAGATTGGAAAGTGCCAAGGGATTATGGGTGGAGGAGCTCCTCGGAGTGTTGTGGACCTATTAGACAATGCCAAGAAGCCCTACTAGCGAGACTTTTTTCTCCCTCTTTAGGATAGAGGCAGTCATACCTATTGAGATCAAGGTACACTCACTCAGGATCCAACACCACGACCCATCCACCAATGAAGAAGGNGTTCCCCGGAGTGTTGTGGACCTATTAGACAATGCCAAGAAGCCCTACTAGCGAGACTTTTTTCTCCCTCTTTAGGATAGAAGCAGTCATACCTATTGAGATCAAGGTACACTCACTCAGGATCCAACACCACGACCCATCCACCAATGAAGAAGGCATTTGTGTCAACCTCGACCTAATAAAGGAGGAAAGAGATATGGCAATGATCAAAAATTTAGAATACAAGCGCTGCATGACCAAGTACTACAACTTGAGGGTGAAGTCTCGCTCCTTTTTACTTGGGGACTTAGTCCTTAAGAAGGTGATATTGGCCACTAAAGACTCACGTGAGAGAAAGTTAGTACAAAACTAGGAAGGGCCATACACTGTGACGAAAATTTTGAGGCTGGGCACTTATAGAATCCAAAATTCTGAAGGAAAGGTCTTAGCCCATCCATGGAATGTTGAACATCTAAAGAGGTACTACCAATAGTGAGAGGGAAGCTAGAGTAATAAAAGTCTAGGATTTTATTTAGTCTTAAACCTAGACTTGTAATTTTTTTAGAATTACCAAATAAAGTTTTTTGGGATTGTCACCCACCATTGTTTATTATAAGCAGTTATCAAATAAAATTTTTGGAAATTTATTTCAAATTTGCCCCGTTTTTCATTTCATAAGAAGTTTGGAAACAAAAGCTACTTCCGCAAAAGTCAAAGCACAGTCTAACGCTACCTACCTACCAAAAAAAGAGAAAAAAAAAAAAACATAAAATATCCTCAGAACTCTGATTGCTCTCACTGTTGTCACCCTCCTTGTCGTCATCTGACTCTTCATCACTAGAGCCCTCACCATCAACATCCAACTCCCCATATGGAACGAATCCCAAGAAGTCCATGTTGGGGAAAGCAACTGAATTCTCTCTGAACTCCACGTAGCCATCAACAAAGATCATCGTAGTGCTATCCTATAGATCATCCTCCCTCCTCCTCTCCATCTCCAAGGATTGAGCCTCTACTCTAGAAGCCCTATTATTGGCCGAATGTAGCTCTACCTCAAATCTAGAAGCCCTCTCATGAGTTGTCTACAAATCTACCATAACTCGGGTGGTCCTCTCATTGGTTACCTACAACTTTGCCTCTACTTTCGTATGGACAGCCTCACTGTTAGCCTCTAGCTTAGAAACTCTATTGCAGGTTGATAAAAGCGTGTCTATCTTTNCATAACTCGGGTGGTCCTCTCATTGGTTACCTACAACTTTGCCTCTACTTTCGTATGGACAGCCTCATTGTTAGCCTCTAGCTTAGAAACTCTATTGCAGGTTGATAAAAGCGTGTCTATCTTTTTCAGAACCCTCGATACATGATCATGGTGGGTAGCCCTCGCAAAAGGCATGTAGCAGCTGTGGACACCTAAGAACATGTACAAAGAGGAAAAGGTTAGTGTCATCAAAGAACATAAAAAAAATGAAATTCCATATAAGCACAAATGATTACCGGGGTTAATCCCTCCATTATGGTGTTGATAACACTACCAATACCGTGATGGCTGACTTTTTCGATATCCAAGAGCATCACAAACCTCAAAATCCGCTCCTTGGCTACATTCACATTTTGAAGCATGGACATAGAAGGAACATATGACATCCTAATCTATTCTGGAGATTGAACTCATGCCTATTAAGATGCCTTAGTTGGAGAGGTAGCCAGAGAAAGTGCTTGGACAACTAGAATAAGTAGAGGAGTCACCTACTGAGCCCCTATAGGAGCATTATCTAGCCTTACCCTCTCAGGTGGAGCATTCACTTGCACAACCCTAGTAAAGTAAAGAGCCTCCACCTTGGATCAATTTATTATGGAACCAGAATAAAGGGAGTAAGCTTTCAAAGTTGAAAATATTGTCAAAAAGTCACCATAAAGATAAAATACCCCTCTTTTGTAGGAAAAGTCATGGGCCTAGGAAGAAGGTAAATCATCTCCAAAAGGGGAACCCCCAGCTTGACCCTCTCTAAACATAAGGGCCTCATATTCCTTTACAAGGTGATCCCTCACAGTCTAAAGCCTTCCCTCTTGATCTACCGACAACTCTGGCAATCCTAAAAAGGAGTTAAAAATATAGTGAAGGTGAAAGGGGGTAGAATTTATACATATCCTCTTGGTTATGCCCCATCCCATGGGAACCAAAGTCTGGTCCTCCTCAATAGTCCACTCTCCTCCTATAAACAGAAATCAACTCCTCCAGCTATGGTAGGTTGAAGTGCAGTCCAGTGATCAGTTTGTCTAGCGCCTTCATCACCTGTCACTGCTTGCCTAGTGACTAGCTCCGCGTACAACTCCTTTCTAGCATCTAGCCCATCTACCTACGTCGTAATGCTTGCCACCTATGCCCATGCACCTTTGCTAGCCCCCTACCTACGCCAACCCATGTGCCCATGCTTGCCTAGGCACCCCTTGCACCCTCATCCATGACAGTGGTGCCTCTGCCTACACCTACCTCCATGGCACCCTCACCCTATAGTGCCCTTACCTGCACCCTCCTCCAAGATGCCTGCAGCGCCCTTGCCTATGCCTACCTCCAAGGTGCCCTTATCTACGGTGCCTCTGCTTACCTTGGCACCCTGGCCCATGCTCGTGCCTACTCTACTACCTGCTGTTGTTGTGGCTCCCTCACTTGCGCCTTTTGTGGCACCTCTTAGTGTCGCCTTACCTAAGGCCTGCTCCTGGAGTCCCAATCCACTTGACATCTCACCTATCTATATTCTTTGTCAGACTAAGTTGGGAGAATTGATGTGAAGGGACCATATTTATTGCCAAAGTTTCAGATTTGGTAGCATCCTAATCAAGTTAGGAGTCTCAATAGGATTGGGATAAAGTCTCCTAATCAGGGTGGAAGGAGATATCCAAAATAGCCTAGAATGAGNCAGCTGTTGTTGTGGCTCCCTCACTTGCGCCTTTTGTGGCACCTCTTAGTGTTGCCTTACCTAAGGCCTGCTCCTAGAGTCCCAATCCACTTGACATCTCACCTATCTCTATTCTTTGTCAGATTGAGTTGGGAGAATTGATGTGAAGGGACCATATTTATTGCCAAAGTTTCAGATTTGGTAGCATCCTAATCAAGTTAGGAGTCTCAATAGGATTGGGATAAAGTCTCCTAATCAGGGTGGAAGGAGATATCCAAAATAGCCTAGAATGAGAAATCCTAACGAAAGTGGGATAAGGAGCCCTATCTAAAGGCTTAAGGCAAGAGATAAGCTCCCCATAAGAAAGTCAAAACAACGATAAGTCTCCACCAACAAAGAGTGCTCGCCAACCTAGGAATTCAAATCTCAAATCAATATCCACAAGCACACACTCAGTACTTGGGAAAACGAGTAAAGGGCAGACCACAATAAAANCACATACAAAGATGTTGCCCCCGTTGACTATGACATCTTGTACTCTAAATACTAAATTTTTTTTCTTTGAGTTTTCAACCAACACATTAAGGGCAGCTGTAAGACCAACCATAGCACTACTTTTCTTCCTACGCCGACTACATGTTGGAGTGGCAGACCTACTACGAGAATGGTTGGATGGGCCTTTATCAACCTCATTTGTAGGATAAAAAATGGGGTCTTTCTCTTATTCGCTATCAGATGGAGGTAGGGTTGAAGGGTGAGCATGCTCACTAGTTGCACTTGTCTTACCAAAAATTCTACCAAGCTTGTCATAATACGGGCAACCCTTTTTCTTGAATTATCTAGCATGCTTATTCACCTAACAAGGATGAAAACTAATGAATACTAAAGTCTTGACAAATATAGACATAATAATGCTTGAGAGTTTTAAAAATAATTGGCTACCTTGCACAAATTCTTCTAGACGTCATTAGGTAAAGTAATTTTCTGTCTCTCTAGGCCTCATCCTACTCTAGTTGTTTCATTCAATAACTTCTTCAATGCATTGTACGTTGTTCTCAAAGTATTGTATTTGTTTTGCAGCTGCTCAAAGTTGTAATTATATCCCATCTTGGTGTTTAGTTGCACTAAGATTTTGTTTCAAGCATCCCTTTCAAATGTAGACGTGTCTTTAGGACGACGTGGTACTTCTAAATCCATCAATTCAATAAAAATGGGCTCATTTTTAAACGGTCATGGCCCATCACCTTTCTTAGCCCCAACCTCAACAACATTGTCATCCTCATTTTCCATCTACATAACAAACAACTCCAAACATTCATCAAACACTCACACATTTAAACCACCCTCTCAAATCACAATTACTTATATATAAACACAAGCATATAACATGTTAAATCAATTAATAATTCATACTTGAATTAAACCATGACATATATATTAAATTGTCTTACCAAAAAAACAAAACTTTGTAATTGTTGTTATCGAAAATATCAACCCCAAAAGACAATAAAAGAAAATATAGATAAAAGTTATGAGCATAAATCACTAATATGAAAGCAAAGTGTTTGGCTTTGTTTGATGGACTGAATTTACTGATGCAATATAGCATAGNCAACCAAGACTTTTCTTGTTCATGAGCATCATATTTTATTGTTCACTTTGCATTCTTAGTGGGAGGAATATTTTGATTTTTGCTTTCTTAGCATGTTCCTTTGTCCCAGATTTATGTATTTAAAATCATATTAGTGGTCCCAAATTTGATTATGTAAACATCATGTTAGTGGTCCTAGATTTAATTATGTAAATATCAATGCACTAATCAGTAAAATATTTTGGTTTCTTAACTTTGTGCAGAGACAGTAGTAGTGATATTTAGTTTAAAAGTTTGATATGCTGGTCATTTTCGATATACCCCTAGGATAGTGTATGTTGGGATTGATTTTGCTGTGATTGAGAATTGTGATTCTGACATGATATCTTTACTTGAAATAGAAGAGATAGCTAAGAGGTTAGGGTACACGAAATGTACCAACTTTTATTATAGATTTTCTGGGGTTGATCTACAGTATGGGTTGCTTTCAATTAATGGTGACGATGATTTAATGGACATGATTGATTGTTTATCATTAGATAAGGTTGCAGAAGTATACTTAGGGTAAAAAGATAAAGTAATGTTTCAGAGCCAAGTAGGCTATACTTCTGCACTATTGAATGTTTTGGATGATCGATACGTGGACATGAATATAAATGTGGGGGAAGAAAACAAAGATGGATATGATTTGTTTGAGGTTGTTGTGGAAGTTGAAGCTCATGGGAGTAGAAACTGAGATTAACAATGATGAGGATGTTGAAATAGATCTAGATTATTTAGAATTGAATGATAGTGCTTATGGTATGAGTGATGATGAATTTTATGTAAAAAATTGTCGAAACAAGTGGTGATTGGGAAGGTCTTGGATCAGAAAATGTTGAAACTGATATGAANACTTGAATGATAGTGCTTATGGTATGAGTGATGATGAATTTTATGTAAAAAATTGTTGAAACAAGTGGTGATTGGGAAGGTCTTGGATCAGAAAATGTTGAAACTGATATGAATAAAGAAAAAAATGAAAAGTTACACAAGAAAGGAGGTTTTAGAAAGTTTGCAGATGAACTAATTAAGGATAATGATTATGACTATGAACAATTTGATGACTTGCAAAGTATTGACAACCACTCTGATGATGACAAGGGTCCCAAGAGGCCTAGATATCCAGAGTTTAGGCCTAAAATAGATATAAGGGATTTGGAATTTGAGCTAGGCATAGTTTTTGATTCCACTAAGATCTTTAAGGATGCATTGAGAGAGTATGCAATTAAGAAAAGGAAGAACATAAAACTGGTTAAAAATGAAAACACCAGGGTGAAAGTAGTTTGCAGAGAAGGATGCAAGTGGATGATATATGCTTCCATGATGAATGATGAGTACACTTTGCAAGTGAAAACATTTTATGATCATTATAGTTGCGCAACTAGTTTTAGAAATCCTATGTGTAACTCTGATTGGATTTGAAAGAAGTATGTTCATAAGATTAGGTCTAATGAAAAATTTCCTATGCCATCCATGGTGGCAAATGTGAAAACTGATCATGAACTGAAGTTTCATAAAAGTATAGTCTTTAGAACAAAAAGAAAGGCTTTGGTAATGATAGAAGGCAGTCATGCTAATCAATATTTGAGATTATGGGATTATGCTAAGGAATTAAGGAGAACCAATCCAGGTACAACTATAAGTATGAAGTTGACTTACCAAGGTAGATTTGAGAGAATGTATGTCTATTTAGGTGCATTGAAAATGGAATTTTTTACAACATGTAGGCCAATAATAGGGTTAGATAGGTGTTTTATCAAGGGTCCATACCCTGGTCAGAATATGGTAGTCGTTAGCATTGATGCTAGCAATGGCATGTACCTAGTTGCATACGCTATTGTTGAAAGTGAAGCCAAGGATNCATACCCTGGTCAGAATATGGTAGCCGTTAGCATTGATGCTGGCAATGGCATGTACCTAGTTGCATACGCTATTGTTGAAAGTGAAGCCAAGGATACCNCCTGGTCAGAATATGGTAGTCGTTAGCATTGATGCTAGCAATGGCATGTACCTAGTTGCATACGCTATTGTTGAAAGTGAAGCCAAGGATACCTGATTGTGGTATTTATATTTTTTCTATGAAAATGTTCTAGTAGGGAATCAATATGCTTGGACTTTCATATTTGACAATCAAAAGGTACTTTATGCATTCCATAAACCATTAATTGTTAGCACTTGATACATTTTTAATTTATGCATTCCAAATTATTCGTTAACTGTTATTTTTTTTTAATTTACAGGGTCTTTAGCACTTGATACATTGTTACCCAATTCTGAGCACAACACATTTGGTAGACATCTTTATATCAACTTCAGGGAGTCTTTCAGAGGAAAGGTTTTACAAAAGGAATTTTGGGATTTAGCTAAGGCAACTAATCTAAATTACTATGGGATAAAAATGGAGTTGAAAGCCATTGACAAGGATGCTTATGAGTGGTTGGTTGAGAGACTGGCTATTGGCTGCACAAGATCACACTTTAGCACTTTCCCAAAGTGTGGTATATTACTGAATAATCTAGCTAAATGATTCAAAGCTTATATTCTTGATGCTAGAGATAAACCCATCCTTACAATTCTTGAAACCATTATATGTCTACTTAAGAAGAGGTTTCAACAAAGGAGAGAATGGATTATGAGGTGGGAAAACCCCTTATACCCTCAAATATAAAAAAAAAGGTTAGAAAAATTCAAAAAAGACTCATCAAATTGTATTGCTTCTTAGGCAAATGATTTAAGGTTCTTGGTTTTATGTCAAATCAGTGATCAATATACTGTGAATTTGGAGTTACATAGTTGTTCAAGTAGACAATGAGATCTCACAGGAACTCCTTATGAGCATGGAATTTCTACAATGTTTGAGAAAAGGTAGAACCAAAGTTGTATGCTGTTAAATATTACAATATAAAACAATATGAAGTTATGATCTACCCGATGAATGGACCCAAGATGTGGCCAGAGACAGGGTTCCAATATGTTCGTCTACCACTGGTGAGAAAACAACCAGGTAAACCTAGGATGGTGAGGAAGAGAGAAGTTGGTGAACATCTAACCCACATAGGCTGAAGCATTTCAAAGGACTCTAGGATGTAGTAAGAGAGCAAATGAGGGACATAATCAAAGAAGATGTAATGGCCAACCACCCCCAAATAATTCAAAAGGTCCAAAAAGTAAGGGTCATGGTGGCAGGGAAAAGACCAATAAATCTGTTCAA